TCCTTCTCTGGAGATATTCAAGACCTGCCTGGACAAGGTCCTGTGCAGCCTGCTGTAGGTGACCCTGCTTCAGCAGGGGGGTTGGACTAGATGACCCACAGAGGTCCCTTCCAACCCCTACCATTCTGTGATTCTGTGAGTTGATTTAGAACTGAATTTTAGTGTCTTTCTGTAATGGAAGCATCTATTAAAGCATAACGATTTCCCAGAAGGATTTGTATTCAGCTTGTAAGAACTGGTTCACATTTTTCATTGCTTAAAATTCCAGACCAAATGGTCATCTGCTTACTACCCTTTGTGCAATGGATTGTTGATACTATCATCAAAGTACGTCTCGCAAGAAGTTTGTCTGCTTTCCTAGTGTAGTTCCTTTCTTTCTCCAACTCATTTTGTCGTCTTCTGTGTAGTTAGAAGTTACAAGTGTCAAAAGCCTGAGGTTTTAATTTTTAGTTGCCAAAGCCGGTGATGCATAGAGCAGTGGATCGATGCAGGAAGAGATGACTTGAGGGCCTAAATCAGGTTGGTAAGGACTGACCCTAATCCCCAGTTATTGTACCTTCTTAATTCCATTTGTCGTGTTGGGTTAGTGCATACCAAAATACCTGCACATTTCGTATGTGCGAGGTAAAGCTTGCCCTGACCTCAGTGGCCACGCAGCAGTGTTACCTTTCATCCGGACTGGTCTTATGAAATGAAAACAAACCGATGCTAAAATAAAAATTTGGGACTTATTTTGAAGGTGCTGAATGTGAGTATCATGAGTAACTGCAGTTGCTGGTGAGATTCGTCAAGGTGGCTGAGCATGTAAGAACTTGCTGTAGCTAAGCAGGGTGCAGTGGTCTTCCTCTGCAGATCCTGGCCAGAGTCGTGCCGCGGCTGCTGAGCCCCTGCGTAAGTGTAGCCCTGGGCACGGGTTCCTCTGGCCGCTCCTTTAGGCCTGGTAGCGCAGTGCTGGTCGGAGGCTGACTTGGGCTCCTGCAGTACATAGCAGCCAGGAGAAGGCAAGGTGGTGTCCCGAGGAATGGGGGAGATGGTCCCAGGCAAGGAAATGTGGGACAGCAGGGGCTCAGTGGGTTTGGCCGTCTGGCAGACGGCACCATTGCTCTGTGTTTTGCATTTTTGCTTGGACCTGTGCCTTAAGAAAAGGAATTAAAAGCAAACAACAAATATGCTCTCTTTTTGACATAAGTGTGTCTTCTGCTTCTCTCTTTTGCTGAAGGTAGAAAGTTGTCTTTGCTTGATGCTCTGAGATGATTTGTATCTGTTGTACTTTCAAATAACTGTGTATGCTTGCTTTTTTTTTTTTCTTCTTGTTTTATTTTAGAAGCACTCTGGTATGTTTAAAAAAACCCTCCAGACAGTCAGTATTTCAAATTAAGAAAATATAATCGCATAGAAGGGCATGTGAAAGTTGTATCTATGGTTGTTTATTTATTTATTTTGCTGAGATTGCATTATCATTCAAGCATGAAGCGATGTTTCACTGAAGATTACTGTATAAACCTATATTGTTCTATATTATGTAGGAAATACAGCATTTTATTACGAGCAGACAGTTATTTTTATAGAGAGCATAAAAAGTATTTTCCCTTTCAGGCACCTGTGGCGAGGGGGTGTATGTATTCTCAATTTTTCTTTTTTTGAAGTGTGAAAATCAACCTGAAAATAGAAAGCTCTTATTCTAAATGGATCGTACTCCCAGTTCATTTGTACGGTACTTTCTGCAGAAATCGAGCAGAACACAGAGGACCTGCCCAGCGATCGCGCAGCATGAGGAGGGGCGCTGCCAGAGGGGTGCTGGGGGCCTGTCCCATGGGATGATGCGGTGCTGGCTACGCCGTGCCCTCAGCGAGGCCTCACGTGGCTCCTTCCCAGCGGCGGGACCCCAGGTTGCGAGCCCAGGGCCGCACTCGGCACCCCAAGAGGTTTATCATCTCCGTACCGCCAGGTCACATGCCCTCTGGATCCTCGTGAGCCCCGGTGGGCTCCTCAGCTTGCAAGTCCAGTTGCCGGCTACCGGATTGCATTTGCCATCTTGCCACTGAATTGCTGGGAAACTCGCCTTGTTGTAGTTACTGAGGTTGAGTTGTGAAGAACAGCATTTCTGTAGGCATTTCTGCATCTGCAAGTAGGATTTCAGTTGTCTAGTGGTAGGGGGTGTTTCTAGGCACTGGTACCTCCTCAGCCTGGTAACGAGTAGACCTACTACAAGGAAACAGCACCATACTTAGATGTATGCTCATTATGAAAATGCTAGTCATGTAACTTCCTTCGTACGAATTGTATGTGTGTTGCAAAGCAGGATGTAAATACTGTGTGTTATCTAGTAGATTGAACCCAAGATTCTGGAATTTTGTGAGCTGATTATCTGTGCTATATATTGATTTGAATCAACAGAGAACGAATATAAGGTGTTGTATGTGGTTTTGCTGTATTCATGACTATGAAGAGGTGATGGAGTATAGCAGAATACTTCAAATTATATTTCTAGCTGGAGTAGTCAGTGCATTGATTATTCATTCATGATTCCAACTAAAGAATCCTATATTTTTGTATAAATTTTGGTGGATAGCTGGCAGGATGTGGCTTTATATCTGAGTCCCTCTATAACGAGAAAATGTTGGACTTTGCAAGGCTTGACTGAATTTTTAACGTATATTTTCCACCAACAGCACTGCTTGTGCTTTCATGTGAAAGGATTTTTGCAAGCTCTGTTAAGTCTTATTTCTGGCAATTATGACACCTTTAAGAAAAAAAAATACAGAATCTTGTAAGATACTAAGATTCTTAACCTTCAAAATGAGGATAACCAGCTGTCAGGTCTTGGACATTTTATCTCTGAGTCTTTTGCCTTGGAACTTAGTACCAGTGGATTGTCTGTCTATGTAGACAGCAAACTGGATATCGGAGAACTTACTGGTATGTGGGGCACACAGTTTTGTGTCTCCTGCATCAGCTTTTTTAAAGAAACTACGTAGTATTTATGACCAGTAATAACACCTGCTAGGTGAAGATAATGATACAGATAATGAAATCTTATAGATGAAGACAAAATCTGGTCTTCTCTGCTGGATTGTTTATTCCTCCATTCCCCTTTCTGATGGCAGGGAAAACGATTTCTGTTCTTTGAAGCTTTATTCTCTGCTATGATAAAAGTGGTGTGGGACAGACAAATAGTTTGATGCTGTAAAGTGGGCATTGTATTTATTTATCAGATGAATTTGAGCCTCTGGTAAGATTTTAAGTGATGACTAGTGATTTTTGATGTCTAATTTGCAGTACTTCTCAGAGATGAGCTTTTCAGAGTGCAAGTGTGTTAGGCATTCTGAGCGTGTAGGCTCATTTGTGGAGGGTTTTAAGCTGCACAGGAAGAATTGAGACACCCAATTACAAAACATGCTTGAATACTTTTTTTCTTGGAGTTTAGTTTCAGTCCATGGCACTTCCTCAGTGGTTGTATTTCTGAGTTTCAGGTTAGTCTCTCCTCTTTCTGTCTACAAAGCCTCATTTAATGACACAGTGTGTTGTGTGGTGTGTGTGTGTTTTTTTTTTTTTTTTTCCTTCCTTCTCTGCAGTGAAATTCTGAATTGTAAATCTCATCACTCCTTTGTGTGGTACAGCATTCATGCTGGGCTGGGTTCTGAGGGTTCTGTAGAGTTATATGGTTTTCTACCAGTTGAGAATTTGTGCCGGCATTTCTGGCTTCAAAGTAAACCTTTTGAAAGGAAGCATGCTGGGTTTCTAATTGGTTGTGACATCCAGGAACTGCAAGTGGCACAGGTCTTGCAAATGTGTGACAAAGGCCCAGCACGAGAGACATGGCAAGGGTGGGAAGGTGAAATGCCAGGATTTCTCCCTTTTGTCATTAATCATCTTTTGGAGTGATGATACGTTGTGAATAAAAGGACAAGATAAAAATGAATGTGGTGGGAGGTGGCGCATATGAATCTTACAAGATCAAATATGAGAAGGCACACTGTCGCTTGGACATCAGCAGGATTAGTGAGGCTGAAATATTTCTGGATCTGCCTGGTCAGACTGTAGTTTAATAAATATTGCATGAGCTGTCGCGCTTTGTTTAAACTGAGAAATCCCAGAAACGATAGCGGATTGCAAGCGTGTCTTGTATTTATTTCTCAGGCAGAAGCACAGCCGTATAGCATTATTAGCAATAATAGATCTCTGCCTTACACAGTGCAAGGACAGGTTTCCTCTGATGTACGATGGAGAGGTGGTAACGGAGTCAGTGGTAAAAACTGAAATTGGAGCTTGGTGAATTGTGTTGGGAGAGGCAGTGCCTGAGATTTCTCAGAATTTAGGAGCCTATTTATCTGACTGCAGCACACCTTATTTACAGCAACTTAATCTGCTCACAGCAGACACAAATGGCTCAGCATCCTGTTAAAAATTCTGTCAGAAAATCAGTAGCTGACCAGTTGTGAACTTGTCAAAGTGACAAGTGGGCATGCTGACAGAAATGGCATTTGGGTTTTTTCACTGAACAAATGCAGTGGTGGAACATGGTAGATGACTCTCAAAAGTGAAGAATATTGATGGGAAAATGAAAAATATAATCTGAATCTTTCTGACTTAGCGTTTTTCCTGGACTTTTGTTTCCCCTTTTTTTTTTTTTTTTTTTTTTTAAAAAAATAAAATTCTTAGATATGGAAAGAGAAATCCATGCAGCGCCCCATGTGAGTGAGAAGTTAATTCAGCTCTTCCGGAATAAAAGTGAGTTCACGTTTCTGGCCACCCTGCAACAGAAGGCATCGACTTCTGGAGTTATACTGTCCATCCGAGAGTTAGAGCACAGGTAAGAGGAAATTGTTTCTCTCTTGTAGCCGTAGCAACATAAAAGATACTGAGTGCTCAGTGGTCCCTTTTGACAATGTGTTGAAATGGTAGATGTACAATCTGACATGTAAGTTAAAGCCTTTCTCTGGAGTTTGCAATTTGCTACTTTTTGCTAGTTGTTTTTTGTTATAGGAGGAATGATTATTTATATATCCTGGTCTGTGAAATAGCTTAAACAGATCAAAACCAATGTAGTATAGACTATAAGTGCAATGCACTTTGTAAGTTACAAACCTTGTAATGCACTGTCCCTTACTAGTTTACCATATGCACTTTGGAGTTTGTTTTTTCATAAAAGTTAGACTTGCATGTTTCCTGCTTTATTATGGTTTATAACATTTTAAAATAATGTTTTCGTTTTTGAGATTCAGCAATCAAGCTATTAAGCAATTAAGCTACTTGTGCTTCTGTATGGTGATGTGTATGTTTTTGTCCTGACATAAATACAGTATATTCTTATTTCATGTGTGTCACTTTTTTTTCCTTTTCTTTCGTTGTCAGTGTAGAAGGAAAAAAATAGGTGTCTCTCATTAGATATTATAGCAGCAGACATCAGTTTATTATTAAAAATACCTTGTATTATGGTCCATAATACAATTCCAATGATGTTTTGATGTTTCAAAGTGTGTGTTGTGTCAAATAGTCTCCTAACTGTAGCTTTGTGAATGGTTTTTCTGTAATTTCTTAGCGCTTGAAGGACCTTTGTAATCTAGTCTGACTTTCTGTTGTAGTGCAAGTAATTCGACGTTCTTTGGTTGCTCCCATTTCAAATATAATACCAGTCATTCTGCAGCATTTCTTCTAGGGGAAAAAAAATCCTATTGATATTTAATTTTGCTGATCATGTACATGTCACACAACTGTTAGCCCAATTTTTTACCTTTTATTGAGAAAATATATGAAGGAGAAGGCAGTGGCTTTATTATGACCAAATCGTTAATGATGGCTTTTGCTAGTGCGACTGCAGAGATGTCCGGACAAGGACGGCTAAGGGGAGGACACTGCTACTTCCTTATTCTATCATCATACTTTTCTGTCACCTCTGCTTTCTTACTGGTCCCTTACTTTATTGCTTCTTTCATTTTCCAGGCTATTGTCTTAATATATAAGAATATTGTTTTACATTACCCAAGGATCCCTCCCTCCAACTAACTCTTCCTGTTTTCCTTCCCTCAGTTCCTTTTGTGGTTACATTTTAATTCCTTCAAGCTGTTCGAGGCCATTGTAGCTTTCTGAAGTCATGGTTAACAGGATCAGTTTGCCATGTGAAGGAATTTTTTTTTTTTTTTAAATTTTTTATTTGAGAAAGAGGACATTAAGGAGAGCCATTAACAGAGGAACATTGTCACATGTAGCAACACATGCATGCACTCAGCAAAATCCAAGGTCAAACTAGACAGGTAATGACGATTATACAATGCAAGGCACGTGGATTTTCAGATATGGCCTCTTCTGAGTTTAGCTGCTTAACTCTTCTATCTTGACAAGCAGAGACAGAGGCTCCTAGAGAGATGTGCTATGCAGGAGTAATCTTGGTTGAAGGTTGAACAAAATGTGCTGCTGATGTCCTTCTTGGCCCTGAGGTTATCTCTAGTATTCCAAATTAATAGACATCTGTTTAAAAATATATATAGTTGAAGGATTGGGTGCTAGTCTCACTTAAACCTTTGTAGTTGTGTGCAGTAACTGAGGTAGTTTCAATCTGTGTAGTTCTGTGTGAGAGTTGCAACAGACATGTCCACTGTTGCTAACGGCTGCTGTTACGTTTGGAATGTCAGATGGATTACTCCAATTATCCTCCTTTTCCAGACTCATTGTGTATCACCTAAAACAGAGTTATTGTTTGAATCTCTAGTTTCTTAAGTTGCTACTTGGACCTTGATAAGGATAGTGCTTTCAAACCCTTAGGTCTGTAATGGCAGAAATTACAAAAGTGGCTGACAGTGGGGAAAATACTTTTTAACGCTGCTGAAGAGTAAAGAACAAAGATTTGGGGCACTGCTGAAGAGGACCCTGGTTACATTATAATCAGTGTAGTAGCAGAACTGTAGATATTTTTGTGATGTTGCTCTAACTGCTCAGGTCACTCTGCTCATCGGCTTTGCATGTGCACTGAAGTGGGTGCAGGCCCCTGATGCACTGGGAAGGCTTTTTTAAATTCTTGCTCCTACTAAGCTTTTGATAATTAGCATGGTTCTGTTCTGGTGACATCCAGTTTTTTATCAAGCTTTTTTCAACCTTCCATGTGTCTTCAAGAATAGACAACGCAAAGAGAATAGTAAGAAACATCATTATGTTTCGTCATGATTAAGACCTATGGAAACAACTATAAGGGTACACTTATTACCTAACCAGTATAGTTTTTGACTATGGAAAAGCCAAGATCTCCTCTCTTATGCACAAAATAGCATATATTATAGTTAAGGACATAACGCTTTTTAACTTAGCAGCATATCGGAAGTGGCAAAATTAAAAGTTAGAGACTTCAGAACTTGCAGGTGATCAATAACACCTGAATAAAAGAAGGTGTGTTAGCTGTTGGTCCTAGATTTCATATCTTTATGGGAGATGCCTTTTTTTGTTGTGCACAGATTTAACAGTTGACAAATAGATTTTATTCCATGCAACAAAAAGGTGTGTGTACATGTGCATACACACACACACGCAGATGTATATTCCAAGTATCATACATATGCCAACATAACAGCATAACTAGTTCAAAAGCTGGTGTTGAATGGTGTATATAGTGGAGGTGATCACCGTAAGGTACAAGTGAAACTTATGAGGTAGTAATACATAGAATGCTCATTTACTTTTCGTTTCTTCAGTAAGATTTAGTAGGACTTTGTTTTCCATTGATAGCATGGAATTCTGAAACTAAGATATGTAGGATATTTTAGAAACAAGTAGGTAAATGGATCTTAAATCTTCATGAACAACAAACAAAAATATAGTACCAAAAATATTAAAATAGATGAATAAAACTTTCCTTGAAGTCAGTAATTCAGATATGCTGTTTTGTTATAATAAATGGATATTTCACAACAATTAGGGATTTGCTGTTAATTTATATGGTCATTTGATGGACAGGATTTATACTACAAAGATGATAAATGCATCTTTGTTAATGTTTTATCTTGTTGAGTCAGCTTAATGATGATAAAGAATTTGTTTTCATGATCCAAATGTATTAAAATACAGCTTGGAAAATTGAAAGCTTAATTAACATAGATTAAGTCTAATTGAACAGTCTGATAGTATGTGCGGACTGTGTATATAGTTATTTGGAATACAATGGTAAATCTGAAGATTTTTTTTTTTTTCTAAATTATAGATAACAAAGTATAATACAGGATGGAAAAACATGTTACGTGGGGATGCAGAACATGGAAACTGTTTTCTTTATTGGAGAGTTATGGTAGCCTGTTCTTCCTGGATCTCTGTGAGCTATTTTGCTCCCAACTTTTGACTCTTCAGACCACCAAGACACTTGGCTATCAAGATATTTGAGATCCTACCTGTAATGAATCCTTATTTCAACAGTGATTTAACACAGTTTTATCCAAAGTTGTCCACCTGCTCCTTGTCTGCTTTGGCCTTGCATGGTCCAAAGCCCAAGAAGATAAACTAGATGAAGTTAACATTGCCTTTGTGCTGTTTACTTGCTGGGTTAGAGGTATATTGATGGTTCCTTCACACTGCTGGCCAAGATCAGTACCTGGAGAGATCTGTCAAGGATGTTCAGGAGCCCAGGCTGGTGTTATTTGAAATACTGTCTTTCACCAACAGAGCTGACTGATTTCCTGACTACTCTGGGGCACAATTTAAAAGCAACTGACTGCTGTAATATTTTCTTTTCTTGTTGATGTGAAAATTTTGCCCAATAGTGAATTACAGTGAGTGGGAAAGGAAAGGATTTGTGTACTGGAATGTATTCTATGAGTTTTGGTGATTGGAAACAAAGTAAGGCACCTGGAAAAGAGAGGTGGGCATTCTTTTGGTGAGTAGTCACCCCACTGACTAGCTTATAACATTTTCAAATTATTTACTGCCCAGAATTTGAATAATGATATTTTAATTGCTGGGGATTTTTTTGGAGGTAGCCACCATTGAACCGCTACTCGTGTCTAAACATGGTAGGCCTAAAGTATCAAGAAGTATTGAGTCCAGAATGTTTTTTCTGCTAATGTACAAATCTGAACCTTCTGAAGTCAGATGAGTAGCACAAGTACACCTTATCTGGGGTTCTGGTACTTATGTGAAAGGAAGTACAATCTTAACAGTATGTTAAGCCACATGAAGTGGCAGCTGGCCACCAAGCCATCATCTGGTCATGATGTGGGAGGTAATAACTCTGGATCAGGTTTTCTTATCTTTCATCAGGCAGAATTCCCTTTGACTTTTTGAAAGTAACCTGTAAGGTTTTTACTTGCTCTGTAACAAGCTGCCCTCCAAAGAACAATTTTCTTCTCAGCCTTTGGTTTATTTTTGTGGAAAGCAGAGAAATTGGGCATTGTAATGCAGAATATGCAAAACTAGTCAGCAGAGGAGCCATTACCCATGAATTGCACATAAGAAAGAGGATAATATCCTTATTGACCTTCCTCTCAAGGTCTCCTTATGTGTGTTTTTCAAGGTCCCTGAGTCTTGTGTGTTGTTCTCCTCCACCCCTTGCCTTCCCAAAGAAGTCATTGTTGGTTTTGTTACTCTTGCTGGTTACTAAAGAGGCAGGATGAAAGACTAACTGTGTTGTAAAATGCCAGGTTTGTTATTCCTCTGTACTATTTTGTGTGTCTCATGTCTGTCTTCTCTGTTTGCTTCATGTTTATTAGTACTAAATTTCTATCCATGTGTTGTCCTTCTTCCTGAAGAGTGCTTCAAAATGAGAGATCCCACCATGACAGAACTAGGGAGTGAGTCATAAGGTTAATGTTTCTAAGCACAAGGGAGTGCTAGAAT